ATATATATATATATATATATATATATATATATATATATATATATATATATATATATGTGTGAAAGAAAACTATTATACATTCTCTCCGTGTATACTTAATTATGTATATAATGTAACGCCTATATGAAAAAAGGGGGAAGAGAGAGGGAGAAAAAAAGAGAGAGGGAGAAGGAGAGGGAGAAAGGTAGTTGCTTTAAGTGTGTCGGCTTACCGTAAGGTGAACAAGTAGCTTACTTAAAAATAGTAATTAATAAACTAAGCGGTAACTAATTGCGCCGCTTTTCCATAGTGGAGATCAATACCTGGCTTGAAGCGCCGCGTCACGCCGTGCATTTTGCGCCTAGATGTATATATTTTCGACAGCACTCGTTCCACTCATTCTTTATGTATTCGTACGTTCAATTATTTTGGGCCTTAATTAGCGCTAAAGATTTCACCTGCGCCGCTCGTCTTCACGGACGCGCCTAAATGTATCTGGAAATATCGCGTGCCGCGAATTTTCTCCGCCTGTCCTATTTTTCGCATGGTAAATTATGTCGCACGTCGCTGAAGCGACGACGTGCATCGATTTAGCAGTCAGCTTCATTTAACAATCCGCGCATATGTGTAATTGGCCTCTAAGTTTCGTATTAGTTACGGTCTCGTGAAACAGGTCCGACGGGATTTCTACTTTCGTCTACTTGGTCGTTATGCCTCGCAAAAACGCGTCGCGCGCGATGTATCTTTGACGCAGCCGCCTTTCGAAGTCACGCGACGATCATCTTGCATTTTTCATTCGCGCCAAACACGATAGAAATTGTTGTACAGTCGGCTGAGATTCGCGTGGTTGCTCAATAATACCATGAAAAAAAAATATTTGAAAATTGCTGGGATACTTAGTTTACTTCTGTGAAAAAAATGTTTTTATTAAAAAAAAATTTTTTTCTCAGTATTTACTTTAATAATTCGCAAATAAATTTTTAAGTTTATTTTCTCAGTATACATTGAGGAGAAAGTACTTAAAAATTAATTTGCTAGATATAAAGTTTAATTTTTTTCACAGGAATAAACTTTATTTCACCAAAATAAACTTTACATCCGACAAATAAGCTTTCAAGTATTTTTGCTCGGTATTTTTGCCGACAGGTGTCGCACGTATTAATAGCATGCCTAATAAGAATATCGACCCTGATATCGAGAAACGTAGGGAAGAATAGAAAGGTGTGCTCCGCGGTATAGCGCGCACCGTGACTTTCACTGGCGTCAAGAAACGCTGTTGTGCCAGCGATCGATTACGCAATAATTGACGTGGCCATAATGGCAGCCAGGCATGCGGCACGTCCGGCTCTAGTATTTGCGAATTAACTTCACGGGATAAAAGGCAGAATCAAATCGCCCGACCGGCTCGACCGGTGAAGCACCGTTTATTCGCTTCCCGGACTTCCGTATTAACTTACGTGTCTCCACGGCGAAACGCTAAATTTTACCGATGTCGTAACTGTCCCCTTTTCACTTTTGTTAATGTTGAAATCGTCGCTCTCGCAATTTGAAATCGTTAAATCGGAAACGAGTTCGAGAGATCTCCTGGTCCCTCACGCCGCGGAACTCCTGATTGATGACGTCAGAAACGAGGAAAGGCATGTCCAACATTTCCGCAAAGTACGTCAAAATAAAAATGATATATCCACAAAATGACACTTGCAAACAATTGAGCACGTTGCTAAAATACACAACAATAAATAACCGTAAAATTAACGTGACATACCTTCCTTTTCACTCGACATATCATTACTTGGTAACGTTAATTTTACGGTTATTTACTGATTGTTGAAGCAGAAGGAAAGTGTTTGGAGGTGTGCTTAATCGAGTATCATTTTTGGATATATCTTTGTATTTCGAGGTACTTTACGAGAGTTTCAGCACACGCATTTCTTCGCATTTCTGACGTATAAGTCAAGATGACCGCGGCGAGGGACCAGGAGTCTTAATTCAGACAAATTCTACGATGCTATGTGTATGATTTGAAAGAGAAATATTACGTGTCTCGAAAACGCTCATTTTGCCAAGACAAATCGTAAGAAGAAACCTGTGTTCGAAAAGCTCAAAACATCACAAGATATTCTCAAGTTCAGACACGCTCAGCATCCTTTTGAAAATGCTCGCATAATGCTTTTCATGTGCTAAGCGACCAAGTTCAATGTCAACGCATTGAACGGTCATTCTCGATCTTCCGCGTTCGTCAAAAACGACTCCATTCGCGAGCGCATGTCTTTTCGTGCTTGAAGAGGAATCAGCACGACGAGGAAAGATAAAAAAGTCTCGACGCGATTTGTGTCGGATCAAAAGAGCAAAAACATATGGGAGGAAATTACTCGCTGGGCCTTTTGACTTTTTATCAATACATCCAAAAAAATATAATCTCAAGAGGATTCTTTTCAAACCAAGAAATACGTTCTAAGCACAATATTATTCTTCTTCGTTAAAATAGACATGGTCCTTGGAGAAAAAATATCTAAAAAATTATAAATATTGTACTTTTTGAGTTCTTCCTTTTTCTTCCTTTTTGAAAATATTTTTCTCTTGGGTTCAGAAGAATCCTCTAGAGTCCACGGCGCAAAAGGATCCCGTAAAGAATGAGATTATATTTTTTTAAAAGCCAATCGCGCAAAGGCTCGTAAAGAGCGAGTAATGATGTTGGTCGTTGGATGTTGTCGGGGTGAGAAACGATCGTGATACCCATCGGAGCGATCCGCGAGCGATCTCCGCTCGAAAGAGCGGTGAAAGCAAAATGGAAGATTACGAGAAGAAAGTGAATCTCCCAGCGCGGACGACGTTGCGCTCGTTCGACGCTTTTTACGCCGAGGAAAGTAACACACCGGCCGGGGCGATACTTTAATTCGAGTCGGCCAGCGAGAGACTCCCACGAACTCGACGGAACGCGTCCGCCAGCTCGACGGAGAAGAAATTCGCAGTCAATTCGCGAAACGGGCTTTCTTTCCTCGCGCGAAACCTCGTGGAATTGTCCAAATCGTGTATCATTAGCGTGAGGAGAAGCAAGGGGCACATCCCCACAAGATGTCCCGGGATATCCTATTCAAGAGAATGAAATCTAAAGGATCCCTGGCAGCACAGTTTGTTGGCATACATGGGACCGATATAGCTGATATATAGCTGATATGTAGCCAATATTGGTTATAAATAAAATATAAATAAATGGTCAAGCCATGACTGTATCAATATTAATATACATTGGAAATATATTTGCCCATTATAACACAATATGTAGAATATTGATAACAAATGAATTACCAATATTCGGAATTCTATTATTATAATATATTGGCTACAAAATGCGTCTACTTTACAATATTGGGCCGATATTGAATATATTGGAGCTCGATTTGTAGCCAATATTGCCCTAACTGTGCTACCAGGGATTGCATGCGCGTGGGGAGATTAAAGATTGGAACATTTGTATTTCATCGCGGTGCCCTCGAAGCCAAATTACAGCTGCTCGATTCGATCCTCTTGATTTGGCTTTATGAGGATCATGCACACGCGCGTGAGACGCATGGATATACACGGATATAACCCGACATCATCGGCATTACGCGCGCGTTATGAGTTAATACTCGTTGGTTGGCTCTTCCCGACAGTTGACATCTTACATTCGTCGCGCAATCTCTTACAGGTGCGTAGACACCACACGAGATGGATCGGTTTGTTCGTCAGTGTTGGACATTAATCGGTGAAAATTTGTATTTCACTGACACACAATCGGCAAATCAAGACAGATCAAGCGTCATACATGTAGTCACGAATAATTTAGTCGATTGACAAAATTAATTATTAGTCGGCAATCAATGAAATAAAAGTTTGATTAATAATTAAATTCATCAATCAATTGAGTTACTCGTGACTTTGTATATGACGATTGATGAGTTTTGACTATCGACTTGTCGATTATTTTAGACAACTGAAATTTGAATCGATTAACACTCTCGTTAGGTAACCACTGCAAAGGTGTTTCACGAAACGTGCTTTTAACGAGGAAAAAACAAACTCGTTTTGACGGAAAATGAGTCAAAATTGATCATAGCGTCGCGCTTGACTTTTGAAATAATAATGAATCTCTCTCATCCATCAGAGAGTACAAAAAGGTACTTTGAAAACGTGGAATGTCTTTTAGACATCCCTGGTAAGAAAACTTGATAGAGAACAATTGAGAACGATAGAATTTCTATCAATTTGTATTGTTTTCCATAAGCTCTATCGTTCGCAAGCGTCAGCATTCGCGAGCATCAGATATAAATCCTATCGTATTTTATTCGGTACTATAAGAATTGGGTTCTATTTGTATTATATAGGACAGTGACGATAGAAATTCTATCTATTGTTTTCTATTGTATACGATAGAATACTATTCACATTTGTGAATTTACGAACCAAAATCCATATTCAAAACGATAGAAAACGATAGAATTTTATTCTATCGTTCTCTATAAACTTTTTTTACCAGGGATCTTTGAAAAGTTTGTGCTGTCCGCAGTATAATAATCCTCCTGAATCAACGAGAAAAATGACTCGTTTTCTGCGGACTATCATTTAATCAGACTCTAACCAAATAGATTCTAATCTCTCGAGAGTCGTTCGACTGAAATTCATTATTCAATTATAGATAAGAACGTAAAAACGGTGTAAAGTCAGCATATAATAGTTGTTGTGTATTTAGAGTTGAGTTTTTTACATAAATCATATAATATAGACGACGTTACGTTAACAGTCGCGAAAGGTTCAGCTGAAAAATTCGCATCTAACTTTAAACACGGATCCGAAGATCTTACTCGAGAGACAAGTAATGATTATTCCGAGTAATGATTATTGATACAAGTCTCGGCGAGCTCATTAAAGTCTTCCGTTCGATCGTCGATCATACCGCTATCTCTCAGGATCTTCTCGAGTTATTCGCGCGTGCACTTGCATGTACTCACACGTAGCCAACACTTCTCGCGCTATCCGCCGCGAGAGACGGGGAACGCGTCGTGCCGGGTGTCGTCGGGATGTAGGTGAAGGTCCTGAGAGTCCGTCCGACGCGAGAGCTAGGCACCGCCATGACGATCCCTCCTTAAATTGACCAGCCGGCCGAGCAACCGGGTTACTTCGGTGCACATCGTCCGACTGTTCACGTCTTTCTCTCTGTCTCTCCCGTTTCGCACCTGCTGGTGCTCGTCGATTCGACGTCGCTGCGTCGCTCATCGTCGCGGAAATAGTACACGTTCTTCGAGTCACCGAGTGCTAATCAAAACCAGTGCGAGTCGTGACCCGAGAGAGCCCGAGAGTCAAGCCTTGCCGATCGGCTGGGTGACTTGACGGGACCCGGCCGAGTAACATCCCGATCGAACGTCCAGCTGGATCGGGAGCAAGGCGGTCGAAGAGGACGAGGACCAGTCTGAGGAGGGAAGACATAAGAGAAAGTAAATGAAACGGATCCATTCTTCACTTGCCGAGTGCGCAATGTCCCTGTGTCGATTGAGAAGTCCCTTCGCGGTTACTTGCAAGTAATTAGCCGAGTAATGAGGAGGAGAAAGAAGAGAAAGCACGCACGATTGCGAATCAAAGTATATCCGCGCGAAGAAAAAGAAATACCAGTTTGTGCAACCGAATAGGGACTAGATGGAAATTCGGCCGCGTGAAATGATGTTTCTGTTTACCGCAACCGGAAACGTTTGTCTGAACACTCAGCTGTATTAGAAGTCGGCTGCAATCAGCGAGAACGATTGACTGAGTAGAAACTTCCTGCAGCAATCTTTCTGTTCCTATAACCGAGTTTTTCATCTGATCCCTATTTTTACCAGGCAAGAAAGTTCAGTTGCACTAACGGAACTCAGACAATACAAACTACCAAAAGATGTCTTAAAGATTCCCATTCTGTTTCTCTTAGACGTCTTTTGAGCGTCCTTAAGACATCTCTTAATAGTTTGTGTGGTCTGAGAATTGTTCTTTCCGTACAGAAACAAGAATCTTATCGATATACGCGTAAGGAAATAATGAAAATTGAATAAGTTATTCGTTACAAAGGGATTTTTCGAGAGACAAGAGCGAAATCATGTTTCTTGCTTAACAGATCGACGGACGGAATCGCTGATGCCCGATTAAGTAAGTGTTTAATTTCGCGCGGGGTTGGAAGAAAGACGCGCGTGGAGGAGGAAGAGAAAGTGGAGGTCGGAAGGACGAAAGGAGCGCGAAGCCGGAACTGCAGAATCGCTCGAGAGATCGAATTAGGGCTTCTTATGAGGCGCGATTTAAAGTTTATCCGCCATTGGCAGAGTATAAGCCTCTCTCGTTGCACTCGTCTACGAAAGTGTTCGGCGAGCGCGAGTGGAGTAAAAGTGGATCAACGTAACTCGTCCATCGAGTTCGCGCGATTATTTCTTCGCGATAGCCTCGCCTCCTTCATCGATGACGAAGACGCGTGCGCGATAACGTGATGCTCGACGATGATAACATATAAAACCCTCGAATAGATTAGATCAATCTGAGTAAAAAGTTTTTCCATTTGCAATCACGTAAAATTTCGAATTATTAATTAAAGAAGATTAGTGAATGTGTGTGATCACGCGCCGTGAGCTGTGATGGCGACGCCTGCTGTCTTGCGTGCTTATAGATAGATTAAACTGAAGGAAAAAGTCCTCTGCCAGTCCTTTTGCAAATAATCATGTAGACTTTTGAGTTATCAGCTCGAAAGAAGATGGTCGCGATCGTTGGATAATCTTCTTTAATCGATAACTCAAATATCTGGTTACTTGGTAAAATGGTAGAGGACTTTCTTTCTTTATTTTGACCTAATGCATACATAAGCGATATAAGCAATATAAGCGACATAAGCGCATATAACGGAACGCCGCGATCATTCGCCAATCTTCCTTACATGATAATTGAAAATTTCACAAAATGGCAAATGAGGAACTTGTTGCTCAGTTTGACCCAATCTACTCGAGAGTTTTTCTCGTCAGACACCCTATATGGTATTTCCAAAAGCTGCTGGCGCTTCGCGACCGTCGCTCTCTCTCACGCCGTTCGCTCACGGGGATACGGACAGGAACGATATCGCATCCGCGCGTACGTTTACGGTATTATGCGCTTCGTTTCTCGCGATGGGATAGAAAGTCGGGTGCGCTCGGCGAATACAGGCGAATATAGAAACGCGCGTGTTCCCGTTGCGCGACGTCCCTTCGGCGCGCTTCTCCACGTCGCCGACGTCTCGCTTTCGTTCCGCGAGTTGCTTAAGCGCCACGAACTCGCGCGGAATTATAAGGACCGCCTGTCTCTCGGTGATAGTTCCTCGAGGAGCCTCGAGTTTCTACGCCTGCCGACTCGGGACGCGGCGTGATCGCTCAATGCGATCGTCATTAGAATACTCGCGTAATGAGAAATCCGTTCGAGGAGCTCAACACCTTTAGAAACTGTCTTCATTATCTTGACATGATTCTTCGACCGACTAACTATACGTTGTGATACCGTGACACTCTGCCCGATGCTTTCTCTTTACGCTCCATATCATATCAGCGATTCCGCAACAGGCGAGAGAGCGAGCGAGCCGGGATAACATAGTCGAGATTTCCACTTTGGTTTTTCCTGGTCCTTTTAACGCTAGCGCCTTTTCTTCGTATTTTTGCCGCGTTTCACGCGCAAATCGACTATCTCACAGGAAAGACCGTATCTTATGCTGCACTATTCTGCGCGTATAGCAAACGTTAAGTATGCCCTTTAATTTCAAGCTACATTTCTCTTCCACGAGAATGGTCACGTTGTTTTAGCCTGATACTCAGAAATTTAGCGCTCGATACACGCGTCCAAAAGTCTCCATTCAACGCGTCAATTTCTCATCTTTTACCTCGTGAAGACGTCTTCTTGGATTGTGACATGAACGATTTGCAATAGAAAAAATCGTATTAGTCGGCGGAGCGACTTATTGTCTCAGTGAAGACCGAGGAGTTCGACAGTGAACGTCTCAATCCTCGCGAACTGCTTTTCCTTAAACGTGTATTCCGCTACGCTGAGAAAAGATCGTGAATATGGATAAACATTAATTTCTTCTCCTCATTATATTTCTTCTCCTCGAAATACAGGCTAAAACAATTATTGACATGTTCTTAGTCATTGAGACTCTAGAAAAGAACTGGTTTTTCTCGTAACCAGCGTTGCAGTTAAATTTCTTGCCTGCACTCCATAATTTCGAAAGAGAAATTTGCAACTAAAGCTATAAACAACCGCTGCTGGTCGCAAGAGAAACCAGGTTTGTCCAGAGTGTTAGCGGCTAAAGGGGATTAATAATTGGGTATCATTCTGGTAGCATATATTGATTTCACACACGCTTTCTAAAAGTGCGTAACGTTTCATGACTGTTTGTAAAACGTTTTGGAAACGTTTCTACCTGCAGCTACCTGAGCAATAATCGGGTGTTTTACTTCATTTTTCAGACGATGGTGACAGAAGGACAACAGGAGCAGGAGGAGGAGCAGGAATACAGGAGCACGTTGAATACAGAAACACTGGAGACAGCTAGGCTGGAACTGCGCGAGGATGATAACACACGGGAGCAAACGCTGAAGCAGTTCCGCCATTGGATCCAGAAGCATCCAACGATCAAGAAGTGCCGCACTGATTCGTTGTTCCTGCTGCGTTTCCTCAGGACAAAGAAGTTCAGTCTGCCGATGGCACAAGAAATGCTGGAGCGCTATCTCACCATCAGGCAGCTCTATCCCGACTGGTTCCAAAAGCTCGATATCGAAGACCCAGAACTCGAGGTCATTGTCGACAGCGGCTACCTGGTGCCCTTGCCGAAGCGGGATCAGCACGGTCGCAAAGTAATCTTGTCGTGCGCGGGTAAGAATATTACAAAGTCTTGAAAAGTAGCTTAGTTAAATTAAAGGAATGCCAGACTTGAAAATTTTACCGACAAAATACCGACTTTTTCTCTACAGTTTACGTCGTATTAGTCGCACAAAATATTTTTGTGCAAAGTACATGCAAAAATAAATTGGAGCATTGCTCGATGTATGAGGAAAACGATAAAAATTGTCGTGTTGTCTGAATTCTGACGATCTTGGCACATCTTCTCGATTTTGTATCTCCTTGATCTTGATTCTCAGGACGTTTCGACCCGTACAAGTTCTCGTCGGTGCACATGGCGCGAATCCACAGCATGGTGGTGGAATCCCTGATGGACGACGAGGAGAACCAGGTGCACGGTTACACGCACATCAACGACGAGTCGGGACTGACGATGGGCCATCTGAGCGCGTGGTCCTTGACGGACATTCGCAATATGCTGAGGTGCATACAGAACAGCACGCCGATGCGTCACAAGGAGACGCACTTCATCAATATTCCCGGTAGCGTGGCGAAGATCATCGAGTTCGCCATCTCGCTGCTCAACGACAAGCTCAAGGCGCGCGTTATGGTAAGCGACGCGAATTATGTTAAGTATATGAGTAAATTCGCACGGGGCCGTTCGTGTGAACGTATCTTTCTGTGATGCTCCTCGCGCAGATACACAAGGACATGGACGAGCTGCGAGAGGCGATCGATCCCAAGATACTGCCGAAGGAATACGGCGGGGAGGTGCCGCTCGCGGAAATGATCGGTACGTGTAAACGAGTTCTGGTAACTTGCTCCTTTTTATCTACTTTGGAGAGGCCGCACGTAGAGCGATCGTCGCGAAAGAATCTTCTGATCTGGAAGAAATGCGCGAAGATGAAGAGAATTTCACAATTTTCAGCTCAGATAATACATTCTATTCGAGAGAAGAAGATATGTATATCGCTCGGTCGAGTAATTTATTCGACGAGTTGCAGAAGTCGTTCAGAATACAAATACAATTTGTGCCTTCGGTCCATTCGCGGATCTCTTTTCGCTATTGCCGTTGTCATCCATAATTCATAACGCACGTCATAACGTACGTGTTCCAGCCGAATTTAAAAAGAACCTGAAGCAGCAGAGAGACCAGCTCATGGCTCTCGACGACATGCACATCGAGATCTCGCCGAAGGACTATCAAGCGGCCAACAACGAAGAGTTCGGCGGGATATGCGGCTCCTTCCGTAAATTGGAAGTTGACTGAGTGTACTTCCGTTTGCGACCTCGTGCTGCACTTGCTCGATTATCTCCGTGGGACACATCGTATCCATACTGACGAGCAGCCGTTTTGCCAAAAAAAAAAAACTGAAATCTCTTATCTTTAGCGAAGTATACAGAAGAGTTCTTGCAGTTGTTATCGTGTGTCATACACGAATCACGCATATGTGTTGAATATGAATATACTAATGAGTAGCAAGTAACAGTTTGCACCGATATAAACTCGGCTAATTAGTTTTTATTATCTCGTGTCTCTCTAAAAATCTTGGGCCTTAATATTAATAGTTATCATTTAAAACTTGTCTCATTGTGAGATACTCAAAAATCAGTAGAGTTGGAGTTTTTTATTTGGATCATATAAGATACGCAATGTTATGTTTGTAATTACGATTCTGCTGAGAAATCTGCAGAATTAGATTAAAATTAAATTCAAATTTGAGTATCTTCAGACAAGTTTCAAATAACGACTATTAATACAGTGAGTATCTCACATATCACAGAAATCTGAGTATCTCACTCAAGGCAAGTTTCAAATATTGACTATTAATACGGGTTTTGATGGCACAAAAAAAAATATATATATAAGTACAGGAAAATATATTTAATTAGTTGTAGTTAGTGACTAGCAAAGATGGTGCAATCGAATTTGTGCGTGAGATAAAAGAGACCCGACCTAGTAACACCCCGAGAGAGTATTGCGAATAAGCACAATATACATTAATTTGTACAATAAGCGTATGACTGTAACTATTAAGGCTCATTAGCGCGCATAAGCGCGTAATGCTCGTACTGCCGGTGGTACCAAGTTACCTATGATCTGTAAGTCATTAGCCCGACTACACATTAAGACATATTGTGACCTGACACACGTTCCTCGTTGCTGCTGCAATAGGACGCGTCGTTCCGATTATGACAGGCGTGCACTTAGCGATCGCTTTAATTAGCAGACGTTTCACTCGATCGAGCTAAGGAGAGCAGAAGAGTCGTTAGGCACATCTATGCAGACGTTAGAATTTTGTCAAGTTACATCTGCGTTGGAGTTCTTAATTTATCCTTAATAATCGACGAGACGCGAGAAAGCGGACTCGATCCACTTTTATCGTTCTTCGTCGGAAACGTAATTAGCTTTCGTGTGATTACTTAGATATTAGTTATCGTAATTATATGCTGTACGAATTGTGATGTCTATCGAATTATCTCTATTGCAATCTGTATTCTCACCAGTGTTTGGCATGCGTTGAACGCGAAGCGCGGCCATGTGATTCCGTCAGTTTCTCCTTCAACACAATCCTTTAACGCAAGACAATCAGACGGACGCGTTTTGCTTTGAATGTGTGGCGAAAATATAGCTTTACGATCTTGATATTTAACGTTTCTCTAGCTTAAAGGGACAATAGTGACGGATGTTTGTGATGGGAGTAGCATTTTTATAAGCGGTCTCGCGAATTTATCGTAGATATATATATTATCCTGAATAAGATAATATTTTATTTTACTCACACCCATGGCGATTTTAAGAGGGTATATTTTTACCAAATAAAATATGCGAATGCCGCAACACGTTGTAAAGTAAAACGTTTATTCTTCACAGAGGAACATAGGTTTATGAATTCAAAAAAGAATGCGAGTATTCGACTATCAATTAAATATATATATATCGACTGAAAACATTTTGATGCGCACATTATTCACCGTAATACAATCAAAGGCCGCACTTTGTGCATAGTTTGAAGATATCGTTCAATCTCACAGACACGCGAACATATTTAAAATCTTGCTGAGATCTAACCAATTGCAAATTAACACTCATTTTTGTACATTCATTGTTCATCGAATATTAATTCTTTTAAAAGCTTAGTGTTAGGCGGAGCTGTCGTGTAAAGACTTCCTGAAATTGAAGAGAAAAATCGAAATGTAAACTGGATGCTACAAACATTTTTCTGATTGTCAGAGTAGCGTTTTAAGTATCAAAATACCCATATCTCGATGAACGCAGATTATTGTTCCATTTTCAATCGTTACCTAGCAGCACATATATGAGAGTCTGACTAGATTCAACAATGACCCGATGCTTTGCGCTGCTCGGATCGCATGCACTTAGATGCAGTCATATGTCTGTACATACCAACAAAATTTCTCGGGCTGTCGTCACACGCGATGACTCTGCAATTTTTCTTTTGTTCTACTTTAAATCCTAGACAGCGAAAACGTTCGTCAGTTTTGTAGAGATTACTATCTTTCCGCGGTGTGAAGTAAGGCTGCCCGCTGAACGGATTGATAAAGTCTGCCCAGTAACCATCCATTTTGAGCTTTAGGCAAATATCCACAGCCGCTAGAACAAACTAACAGGCTAGTAGTGTATACACGTATCTCTTATTGCAATCTGCTATATTTTATTCTCCTGGCTTCTCGTCGCGACACTCTTGATTTATGACATCAGAAGCAAGGAAATACATGTCCAAAATTCGTGCAAAATATGTAAAAATAAAGACATCCAAAAAATTTCATGACACTTACAATCGATTAAGCACACTTCCAAAATACTTCAAATATTCTCTTTTTTCTCTGAAAATCAGTATTTAGAATATTTTAGTGATGTGCTCAATCGATTACAAGTGTTATTTTTTTGGATATCTTTTTATTTAGACTTACTTTACGAGAATTTTAGTTATGCATTTTCTCGCTTCTGACGTTATCAGTCAAAAGTCTCACGACGAAGAAACAAAAATCTTAACTACACTATGTAATCGTGTGACTCACATATTTGGCTAATTTTTCTGTTTCGACGTCTGTACGCCATCTAAGTGACTTAGGATTTGCTTTTTGACTAATAGTTATGATAGTGAGATCTGAAGCAGCCAGGTCTAAGATTGTTCCTGGAAATAGTTCCTCGATACTCTTGTGTAAGAGAACAGGACATTCCTGCGCCATATACTTCAATGTTGAATGTACAGTTTTCCACTTTCTGTCATTTGATTTATCTCTATTGTTCAATAACTTCTCAAATTTCTCATCATCATATGCTTCAAGAAATTGAGTCTTCATTTGGGCAGTAGTTGTAACGTCTAGCCATGCAAGTCCAACACTTCCAGGAAGATAAAATCGAAAACCATTTGGTGTTAGTAACTCCCAATTGGAGTTGGCATCCAGCATGTTGGTCTGAACATCTGTATGTTATATTTTATATAATTATGCTTCCTCAATGTATTCATGTGATATCGGTTAAGTACATGTATCAGTCATGTTCCTTTGACAGACATGTAAGTTAATAAGTAACAAGTTTGAATTAAATAAAAATTAATCTTGATACAATTCTATAGAATAATATGAAATCTATGCATGTTCTGATGAGTCAATAGTTCTTTTCTTGATATAGTAGTTTATTATGGCATCTATTCAAACTTGTGAGTCAGTAATTCTACTTTTGACATTGTATAGTTCACTGTGATATCTATGCAAGCTCGTAAATAGACAGTCTCTCTCTTTTGACATTGTATAGTTCATCATGACATCTAAGCAAACTTGTGAGTTAACAGCCTCTCCTTTGACATTGTATAGTTTAGCAAGATTAAAGACGATGACGCTATCATTGAAGAAGCAACTCATTAGTCTAATATTGTGCATTATCAAGTTCAACAGCAATGTCCTTCTTAGAGTAATGTTGTCAACAATCAATTTGACTCCACATTTGACTTATTTTAACAACATTAACATGAACTTTTATTGAAAACAGAATGATGAAAACCTGAATTTCGTTACGTACCGTCCATGGAATCGCCATTGGCGTTGACATAAGAACTCGTGCTCCTGTTGCTGCTACAACGTAAAGAAAAAGCTCTCAGGAGCATGTTGAACAGCGATGGAGTATTAAAATTCCTTCCGTATCTTAAACAAAGCATCTGGAACGTGTGTTAGAGGTTACTCGTCACAACCGTGAGTGAACCGTTGAGGCGATTATTTCGATCTTATATAGTATTTTAATTACCACTATGAATAACAGTGCATTATAGGGAGTGCAGACGAAATTAACATAGTAGATTTCACGATCAAAACAATCCCCTATTTATATCCTCATCACATATCGTACAACATATCACTTGTCACGCAGATAAGGTTAACGTTCGACTAGCTAATCGAAGCTCGATTCTCTCATTTGTCGAAGGATCGATTAACCTCTTTGATGTCATCAAATGAAGATGCGTATCGATAGTTTTACAATTCGGCAGATTTTTTTCTTCGAATACGTCACACCACAAAGTCCTGCTCAGATTAAATTGTAATAATTCAAATTGAATTTGTCAACGAGGCGGAATGAGTGATCTCTGATTCCCAAGTAGAACAGGTTGCCTAATGGTTAACGTTCTTGAAGTTAACTTTTTGAACGTATCTATAAGATACCAAGTCAATGTCAATAATTTGTCTCCATTAATATAACATTGATTAAATAACAGTTTACAGTTGGTTAATAGCTAGTTCATTTACGCATCTTACAGTTATCATTTAGTATATATTTAATTTGTATCCATGTACCAGCTTGATACTTTTATATCTAAATGATATCTTTTTGGATATTAAAAGTTACCTTTCGGGCGGACATTAGATAACTCTTTCAGTAAACACAAACTTAACTTTTTTACCGAAAATAAAGTTATCCTAACCTAATTTCACATAGTAAAATGAAATACTTTAAGATAACGTTGTTCTACTTGGGTTCGTATCACGAGAGGAAAGTCTATCCAACTCGTTGTTCGATCGCGTTACTGAAGAATAGAGAAGTAATCTCTACTTTTTAGCCTGACTTGTCGTTGAGTCGTACTATGATCTCGTCTTTCAAGCAGACAGTGGCGCCTCACAGAGGAGAGAGAGAATTCGGAACTAATAAAAAAGTCGGTAATAATGTCGGTAAAATCTTTCTTACCGAGTTTCTCCTCGATGCCGTTAGATGACACCATTGATGATGATCGAGCCGCCATTATGACTTACAACGAGGGCACGACTCGCGAAACGGTTACGACAAAATTTTTATTTTCAACTGATATAAGTCGACGGCAAGTCAGAGGTATCTCTATTTTCCCTTAAATGATCATCAATTAATCCTTTTTCTATGTAACAGTGATCTCAATCTCACTTCGAGACTTCAATTTCGAGAAGCGTCAACAGACATCCAGGAGTGAATACTTTGTCTTCATTTGCCGTGCAGACAGTTTCCCGCGGATCACGAATTGAGGAGAGGAACGACGCAGTTGAGAAGCCGCGGGCGTCGTCCGGCAATAAACGAGTCAGCAGGTATTAGGCAAAATCTCTTTATTGATTACATTTTACAGTTACATCTTCTTTACTGAATCGTGATAATTTGAAAAAGTTTTCGGTCTTGTGAAACAAAACGCCAAGCGCGGGAGCTGGATGTATGCACATTATATATATATATATTATATATATGTATGTATGTGTGTATATACGTATGTATATATGTATATTATAAGAAGTTGCTTCTGTAATCACGGCAAATACGTTTCTTAGTAAAATGACAAAATTCACACAAATACGTCACGTTACACGCTATTACGGGGCCGGGACGGGTAGAGGGGGAAAGGGAGGAGGAGACGTAGCTCATCTCTGCGCGATCTCATTTTCTGGCGATCGAGTGCCAACGACACACATACACACACATACCCCACGGGGGTGTAGTACGATATATTTTTCTCTCTTATTTATGTATATATATGTGTGTGTATATATTTATATATATATATATATGTATATAAAGATCTAGTACACGGGATAAAAACATCGTAAGAAACTAATTACGTCGAATTATCTCTCATCTTCAAGTGGACGCTCGTCTTCTCGGCGCCCGACAATTGAACCCTTTGCATTCCCCTCGAAAATTCGTGTTAATATATTCGGTAATATACATAAGTGTCTCGATAACGAAGCACCGTCGGGGCGATCTCACTTTCTTTGCTTTTTGCCGTTTTTTTTTTCAAATTAATATTTCACAATCGCCTCTCTGCTCTCGTCCTTCCTCGATGAACGACCGATTTTTCTAAACGCGTTCTTTACATGCTTCAAAGGTTCTCACGGATTCATCGTTTTTCAGTGTCGAAGACGGAAAGGACGACAGATCGCGTGACGGAGCTTCCGGACGATTCGTGGACATCTCGACAGCTGTGTGCGTGCGTGTATATGTGCGAGAAAGAAGAACGCAAGTCTCACGTGTGTGGTTGCGTGGAAAGTCTAGGATTCTAAGATTCATAAAAAATGTGTATGTACATACATAGCATAGAAATAGGGACTTTAATACGCGCGAAAGTGGAGATTCCTATGTGTACAGAGCGATAATTAGCATACAAAGAAATTAATGAGCTCGTGTGAGAAAAAAGAAGCCCTGGATTATAAATAATTCTTGTATTAGAGAGTCTCCAACTTTAAGTCGAGTCTCAGAATATACGCGAGCTTTTACGGAAAGCTCTAGGCATCGCACAACTGTGACTCAACGCGCGCGAACGTTTTTTTAACGAAGGTTAATGCTATACTAAAAAAATCATTCGGAACGCTTTTGAAATATTATACTTAATTTTACGACACCCTATGTTCAGGAGTCAACGGAATGAATGGTACTGCGCGCACTACCGCGCGTGTTGTCGTTTTGAAGATTTGTTTACCTGAGCGCGCGCTGTATCACACAATAGTCACAGACGCGGTGGTGCCAAGACATGTTTCGGGGGGAGCGTTCCGTTACAGGCTCGCAATGCTCGCGAGCGTCATTCTATCTTTGTTGCTCATTAGATATTAAAGACGTTTTAGATAGAATGACGCGAGCGAGCGTTGCGAGCGTGTAACGGAACGCGCCCGGGATAAGATACTTGGTCGTTTCCTGCGCTTTCAAATTAATCCGAGCTGATGGAAACGCGTGAACGGACGTGTCGCGTTCGTCGTGGCGGCACCGTCATTAGCATAGTGACAGCGATCTGCCATAGATCCGAAAGGTAACAGCCATATCGCATTTGTAATAAATTTAAGAAAGGAATACGGTCGATATATCTCCGTATTCTTAATTAGCTTCTACCGACTACATTCTTCTAGTGTTTGAACTGATCGAAAAACTAATTTTTGTTTCAAATCTAACGAAGTTTACTATGTCCATATCGCGGAGGAAAATGCGGATACTGATGCTGATGTGGATATGCTGAAGCCGTGCCTGAGGATAGGCTCGAGTCTAGCAGAGCCGGCTCGAAGGTGAGTTCTCGGACTCTCTGTCTTTCTCCTCTCGATCCTTTGCTGTCAGAAGCAGGCGTACAGCCGTCAGAAGGAGTCGAATTACGACCGCAAAGGGTTAATCCATCGGCATGCGTATTTGTTAGGCAAATCGAATTCCTGGATCTCTAACTAATCAAATCGCTCTCTCTTTCTGTTGCAGAACTCGCAGTTGAACGGCTTCAGATCTTCTATGGTTCGGTGAGTGAAGAAATGACAAATGAATGAATTTAACCTTCTTTGACTCGCGCGATTATTTAATATATGAAGACTCGTATTTGTGATATCTGTGTGAGAGCAATTTTCAAATAATGGAAATATAATTAAATATTTGTCTTTGGCATAAAAACTTTGGCTCCTAGTCAAAGTGCTCGCGCACATTAATGTTAATGATTGTGAAAAAAAATTGATTCTTTATCTCGTCGGTCTGAAAAGTCGATACACGAGTCAAGCAAGGTTACGATTTGTGGTAATGGTTAGATGGTGCTTTTACGAAGGTGTTCACTTAAATCAATGCGATTTACATTGCATGCTAGCTTTTATACATGTATGTGCCGTTTAAAAAATATACAAGCTCAAAGCAATCAAGAGATCACTTCTAACGTTTATATCGTTCTAGTAGAGATTTTACTATTTCACTTGTGATATTAATATCTAACTCTTGATCTTGATGAAATATGTTTGTACGAATTGAACGTCCCATATTTGCTTATCCTTGCATTCGGCTCAAGCTGTGGAATTAACACTTGAGCGAATTGAATTGACCGACTTATTTATTCGGTGTGATCTCTAGTTGTCTTGAGAAAGGTGTATAAAGCGTATTTGTTGAAATTACGCCACTGTTCGTCGAATTCGGGCTTATTTCGCCCGAGCTGATGCGCGGCGATTGTCACGATTATTAATTCGGATTTGTCGGACGCGTGTTTATGTATACGCGATTGCACGAACTAAACCGAGATACGTAAACGCGGAAGTACACTTCGCAAGAGTGCTGCGAAACAATTCGACGTAACGGTTTTACCCGCAATCGTTTTGTTCGCGGAATCACTCCGCGTGTTGCTGATAGTTTCGTCATAGAGAGGCGCGACAATTATTTTTTTGTGCAACATATCGCGTCTCCGTGAGATAGCTGACAAAGGTTGCTTGTGACAAAGCGTAGGCCCCCCGGGAATGTAAACAAAGAGTTTTTGCCCATTCATACACTTAGCCCATTCATAAACATAGCCGTGAATACGTCAAAGCACTTGGGAGATTTTACTCCTGAGTTGTTGAATTTAGACTCTGTCGTGAGTGTGTCGGCAAACGTCGGCTCGTGCATCCGATATTATCGAAATTTTCGACGTTAACGAAAAGAAGGATAATTAACAATCGATTCGTACGGTCGCGATATCTCATAAATGACACGTTTGCTGCGCGATTATTACATTTCTATTCGTCGCGTTTTCGCGATTTTCATCTCGCGCTAATTCAAGTCCCGATAAACTCCGTGATAAATCAACAATCTTCGCCGATGGCGCGGTTAATCCGCTAAACAGCGCCGAGTCGTGAATATTAATCGCATCGCAGTGTTACTGCGATAAAGTGCACTGATAGCAAAGTGCAATCAACGTGGGACGACATGGGACAATACGGGACGGAGGGTGGACGATGCAGGATGCAGCTGGTCCTGGTGGACGGTGACCGGCTGGACGCGTGGGTGGACCTAGCTCGACATTGGCCGAATTCAACGAAATGGTGAATATTGAATCTCAAACACTCACAAAGTGTTCCACTATTCGATGCATGCGTAGTAACAAATCGCACTGATTGGCAGCAAGGTCAGTTCCGAAGTCGCGGACAATTGAGTCGTTTAGTATTCAATATTGAAAGCGCAGTAATTGCTTCAACGACATGTTTCACGGTGATGATAGTAAATTTTGACGCGTACGTAATACGCGTTTGACGCTTTCACGAGAGATACATCGAGAGAAAAAATATCTAAAGAATAGAAAATACTTCTTTCGGTGGGTGACCCAATAACATATTATTTATTTGAATCTAAATTCTTTTATCCCAACAGAATAAATAGCTTTCGTGAAAAACTAAAATACAATAACAATGTTCTAAAATAAAACATATAAATAAACAGCTATTAATTCTATTACAATTTATTTGTCTCGCACAGCGTAGCGTGGACACCTTCATAGTAATGTTAATCGATGATTTTGACAGCTCAAGTTAAAATATGCAAATTTTTTAAGATTTTAAGAAAATGTATTTTCCTCTATTTTAAAAATATTTTATACAAGTGCATAAAGTATTTTTAAGATGTAAACATGTTATTAGCAGTAAACGAGTAAACATGTTATTAGCATCCACAGAATAAGTGTTACTTATGTCTCTTAGATACCTTTTTCTCTCAGAATAGTTTCTTCCCTACACATTTTTCTCCGCTCCAGGGAACTGATCTTACACATTTTCGCATATTCAAATGATATATGATATTCATAGCGATTATAACTTCTGATATTTGATGATATTCTGATGATATTTTCTGATATTTTCATGATATTTTCTGATGATATTTTGCAATAATTGTGACTTATGATATTTATGATATATGTTGCTTATGACAATTATGATTTATGATATTTCTGAGATATATGATGCTTAAGGGGGGGTGCAATTATGAGTTATGATACTTATGAAAATGCCGATCTTTTTGCTACGAAAGACAAAAAGGGATAAAAACATTCTCTCGTGAACGTTTTAGTGAAGTGAGGCGCACGATAGTTAGATTATTTCGATACTTGTCGCTATATTCTACAGCCTTTAACGAAATTGTGCTTCTTCGCATCGCGCATATTGTCTGCTACTTTTGATTCTCCCCAGGAAAGTTTCCCTTACACATATTATACGCGCTGAATTACACTACGTGTTAAACGTTGAACAGTGAACGGAGTATTTCGTGATACTCGGACTGATTCATCAGTTCGCGCTCTCGCGGGCCCTCGATGTTCGTTCGCGCGACACCAATCGATCGCGATGTTCTCATAATTCGTTTTATCGCACGCGCTCTCTTTCTCTCTCTCTCTTCCTCGCCGGAACGTTTCACCATTAACGCGACAAGACGACACGTCCACGAATCGCTCGCGAAAGTGAATCACGAGGACGACGGGGACGGTGAACTTTATCGATCCCAAAAACTCGCCGGCACTCGCATATAGCGCGGAAAATAGTCCCCTTTTCAGCCGCGCCCGCTTCCTAAGTCAGCGTTTTCTAGAGGCCGGGTATTTTTCTCCCGGGCGCGGAAGAGCCAGGAAATACCCTCGGAACAGGATCATGCTTTCAGTTGACTCGAGCGGTGCGCGATAAATATTCTCGCAAATTATTTCACGAGGGACTCTGAAAGGCGTCGAGAGTCGCTCGTGAACGCGAACTTCGGGTGGAGAAAAGAGAGAAACGTAAATGCAAAATTCCCGGACACTCTTACCGCTTCGGCGTTTAAAGTGAAAGTATAATGCCTGGACATTAATAACGCCTAACTCTAATCAATTTTTAAGGCTCAATGCTTAAATCATCTATTATAGACCTGGGCTTACCTTGAAAGGCGAAAAGAAAGAAACAAAGTCGCGCGACGGGCACTTTGAAAATCGCTGTCTCGAGCGTTCAGTCGCGAATCACGAACACCGAGCGTTTCACTGCTTAATCGTTATTATAATTAATCGCTATGGTGTCGGGGGGCGTTGGTACAAGTACGATACATTCACGGAAAGAGACAAGAAAACTGTCGGCCGACTCTGCGGCCGGATTCTGTCGCGTCGTCTTTCTTTCTCTTCTTCTTTCACTTTTTCTTCTTTTCCCTCTTCTTCTCCCTCGTGTTTTACCTCTTAAGATACAGGTACAGATATATATATATATATATATGTATATATATATAACATCGATTTGTGAAATCGCCTAATCGCTAGGCTATGGTCCGCAATATATTCGTCAGCGCGCGGGTACGCGAATACCGTATTTCTGTTCGCGCGGATCGGCGTACCCGGCGGTCAGCGTTCTAAACCTAAAGTCCTAAATGTAGGTAATTCGCGCACAGAGGACGCCCTGTGCATTCTCAATCGTCCACCTGTGTCCGCGCTCTTATCTCGGATCTGGTCGAAGGCGAATTCGGTCGCGCGGATATTCCCCGATCGGCTCTCCCCGCCGATTGCGGCAGGCATCCTGCTGGAAGATATCGATCGCGCGAGGACGACTGCGATCGCGACAATCGCGCGTAATCGCCGGCCCCGCGAAATAGGAAGCAACACTGGCGAGTTTCATCGCGGCAGACTGAAGGGTCTGCTGAAAATATCACCAAATGGTACTCGCGCCACGACGTTAGCTGTCGGGAAGCCACGAGCGACGAGCGTGGTCTCGACAGTTCTCGCGGAAATCGGAGGAGTCATCTCAGGTCGGGTGGTTGACCCTTCGGGCAAAATTGCGAGAGACAGAGATACGCGGAGAGAATGTTGCAGTGAAAATTACCGTGAAATTTCGTAAGAATGTCGTAAGAATTTCGACGAATACATCGACATATTCTGCTACTCATATCTGAAGAATTGGGATGTATTAAAAAGTTCGCTACGTTCTTTCACTGTGTCTCTTAGCAAGAGAGACCTTACAGTCTATCCCTGCACGGGAGAGACGGTTAGCCCATTAATCTGGTTGTGCCAACCAGATTCAACAATAAAATCCGCAACAATTAATCGCGATTGCTACAACCACAAAGCAATTGCTGAGTCACAGTGATGGTTATATCTGGCTGCCCTAACCAGAGCGTATGCCATGGTAAATGCCATCCCAACCGATTTCTGGTTGTCACAACCGGATCACGCGCAACTACATCGACGTAGTTGGTAAGTACCAAAGTGACTGTGTTACATATTACGATCGTACCAAGCTGACTATGATGGTGCAGCTATGCTGCTCAGAGCTAAGTATTTCTGCTTACGTGCACCATACCTTTCCTTTCCATTACCAGAAACATAGATCCTCATCCTAAACTCCTCTTTAATAATGAAAGCGCCTGAAAGTCAATCAGAAGGCTCACAAGCCACACTTAGGGACACTTGTATAAAGGGAAGTTCAGGATAAGAGCTGCAGTAAAATTAAGCGGGATTTGCATAAAAATAGCTATAACGCATTCTCTCCGTGTGTGTTTGCGCGGTTGAACAGCGAAAGCTCGTGTAACAATTATTGTCCGAGATAAAAAGCCGCATGGAGCGACGTCGAAATGCAGAGGCCGGCCCGGTGCGTGGCAATAAGTTAATAGTTTGTTTCGTCGTCATACCTCGACGCACGGCACTCTGCCGGGATGTGTAGCGTGTTCCGGTGGAGGAGTCGATGTAGAGGAAGGATGCATCGAGCAGGACGCTCCGATGCAATTGTCCGCGTCGCACGATCGTCCTCGTTAAAAGCGTGCGTTTCTAGATGGACGGAAAATGATCGTTTACGATTACCTCGTCGAGTCCCACCTCGTTTCCCGAGCGCGTCGTTATCCGGATCTGACGATATCTCCCTCTCTCTTTTTCTCTTCCTCTCTCCCTCTCTCTGTCGTTCGAGTTTCCTTCCGCTATCGGAATTATCTCGCGCGCGTTTCAATTAATCACGACTGATAAGCGCAACAACAGGGAACGATTTCTCGTTTAGGGTAAACGTCGTTCATTGCATGGCAGGCCGCGATCGACGCGTCTTTTATTCACTCTAAAATTGCCGCCTGGCCACAGCTTTCGGAAGGCTTTATTTTGGTCTACTTCCTGGTCTAATAAATCCTAGCCAATAAAAACCGGCCAGTTTCTGACCAATTATTTCTGGAAATGCTCGGGAATAGACACAAATTTATAAAAATTGGATGGGCAAGTTGCGAAATAAGAGCTCCCACGCTTGCTCCCATTGGAGATACACTTCGGCAGCCGGTGAACGTCCCTCGCGTGATCGCGTCGTGAGGGAGAAGGGTTGAAGGAACGGCCAAGTAGCCGAACCGTTTACGAGCTGCAGAAAACGGACGGCCGGGAATGATCCTCGGTGATCGTGTTATCCCGAGCATTATCCCCTCGCGCGTGCTCGGGAAGTTCTTATTTATAATTTACGAGGCGATCGCCCGTGTCCCCGAAGTACCGCGTTCTCTTCCCGATGGAATCCTCTCGCTGGCCGAAATACCAACCGAGGACTCGCTCCGAGAGATGGAACGGTCTTCGAAAATTCAGCCGCGGACGTGCTGACGCTTGGTTAGTACCTTCGCACCGATTACGCACCGAGACGAAGGTCACAG